GGAAGCGTGGGCCTGGCTCAATACTTTGGTCGCTGGACCAGACCCCGTCCAACAAGGAGATGGAACCAGCCTGGCTCTGCAGCTTGTTCCCACTACCTGTGTACTTGTTAGCAGTAAATAGGTGGTGCCCATCTTGCCCTTTGGCGTGCCCTTGTGCGTACGAAGTACTCCGTCCACCAGGTCAATGTGCAGAGAGTCTCTGGGGGAATCGTCTGGGGATGCCTGGCCTGGCCTGAGAGACTTACAGTGCGAAGTAATTACGTACTATACTGCAGGACGTCAATAATAGAAAAAAGCACTTATACAAGTCAAGGATACATGGCAGGTCCCCTGCTCCTGCGTCGACTTTGCAGGGAGAGCAAGGAACATCCCCGCAGAAGGAGTGCATCATTTCTTCCGGAGCACGAGGCAAGGGAAGGCTGTCTGGACGTTGCAACCATTCCAGTCACAACACTACGAAGTACTTTTTACCTGTAATACTGTAATACGAATTATTGCAGAGTAGTCTACATCCTTCGTACATCAATACAAGCAGGCATATCCAGCCAGCAACTTCCTGCCACATCAATAGTTTCTTTAAAGCTAAGGGCAGCGTCGATGCAAGGACGAGACCGCGGTCAGATTTCGCTCGTGGGGAAGATCATTGACCGTTAGTTAGTTCCTAAACTAGTTTACAAGTACTTCTTGCAGTGCATTCTCTAGCTATGCGCTACTCCAGACGTAAGCAATCTCAGCGGGGAAGCGACCACATTGCCAGCATCGACTTCGACTTCGACCCGAAACGCACGCTTCGTAGTACTTCGTAGGCTCCGGAAACAAAATGAGGCAGATGACCTTGACTTGGACGGCATGTTAACGGGGACATGTTTCAATACTGTCCTCTTCATGCTTTCAATCAATCTCAATCTCAATCCGCCGGCTATACATACCCAACACGTCGACAACCGTTCACGTGGCTTTCGGAAGATCGCGTTCATGCACGCCTGCACTTGACCGCAGGGCGTCTTGACAAGTCTACGAAGTACTAATGCGCAGCCTGGAAAATCGAAGTCGGTCGAACAAGGGGAAAATAGAGGGCGAGGGCACTAATGGCTCGCCCTCTTGCTTTGGTACATAGTACGTGTCGCACTACTTCCCTCCATCTCAACATGAACTTCACTGATGGGGAGACTGGTTGTGTTGTTCTTTCTCCAAAACAAATAATGAAGACCCTCATAATTTCAATCCCCATTGCCCCTGACTTTGTAACGATTCTAGCATCGTCCCTCAACATTCGTCGGTGAGTAAAGTCAGAAGCCTTAAGTGCTGCTTGCAGTCTGGCATGGCCCGGTAGGCTCTATCTTCATGGAGAAAACGGAACATCCATTGCGAAGGCCGAAGGTGCCGATTGAGAATGAGGCTCACCGAGATATCGTAAAAAAGGTCCTGGGGGCTGGCTTGTGTCGGCATGAAGTGAGACAGAACAAGCTTGACCGACCTTTTCAAGTGTTCACCTTCGGCGGCTATCGCTTATCAGGCGGCAATCTGTCTGCACCGCATCGGTACTCGGTTGATGATAGACGTTGGAATAATCTGGCTGACTTGATGGCTTGGAATTCTTTCGCAAGCCTGGTGTATGAGAAGAACTGGGTCTCGGGAGTGGTACCGTGTACGGTGGCGGGCTGTTTGAACAACGCCAGATTGATCAAGCCGGATCTCGAGGTGGTAGCTGCTCCAAGCCTGCAACCTCTTAATTCATCCATTATCTAACCACTGTGCTGCCAAGACGTGTACAATCGTAGTGTTCAACATCAATGAAAGTGCAAATCAACATCTCTGAGGAATGAGCTGACAATCCGATACATACTTTTCGCTAAGTCTCCGTCAAGTCGCCTCTTTGGGGACTGCCAAAATGATTGAACCTAATATCTATTGGTCGGAGTTGACAGATGGCCCTTACATTCTCGTCGTTTTAGAACTTCTTTCCCCAGGCCAGCGCCTCACTGACTGACATTGTTTCGCAGTGTTTAAAGCCAACGAAGTAACCCCCCGCTAAACTTTCTCAACTTCATTGTTCTCGCCGAAAAATGCTGGAAGTTTCTAGACAGAACACTATTCTTCGCCCTAACTGTCGTGTCTCAAGTGGCATGGCGAACCACTTCGAGGGGGACAAGCCAACGACAGGAGACCTCCCACTCAACCTAAAAAAACGTAAATTGCCTTCACATTCCTTGTTTTGGTTTCTGTTGCTCCAGGATCTACGAAACTTTCCCTGGCTTATTTTTGCGCGTCAACGGGTACTGCCGGTCCGCCCAATCCCGCTTGGCAACTCTCCTTGACGTGTCATCATCAGTGACTATCAAGTTGAGAACTGATCTCTTCCAGGAATAACAGGGCAAGCTCCGATCAAATACCCATCGCGTCCCTCACGGATGTGGAATTGATAACCAGAAGCATCAAATCCATGGATTGCGCGGACGGACCTAATCCACCCTTCCGCACCCCAACCGCATGGATGGCGAAACTGCTGCACTCGGCACGCACGCACTGACAGCCCAATCTTCCACAATTGACGCTCTTGATGACGCGCTTAGACCTACAAATAACCTTAATATAATATCTGTAAAAACAAGTTGAACGGGCCGTGGCTCTGACGCGAGCACTGACAACCCACAGAATCCAGACGGTCGAACTGTGTGGGAAGCAGAAGCCTGGACCAAACCTTGACGGTCCCGAATTAATTCACCAGAGGTCTCATCCCGGAATAGGGTGGTGATCGTTCCCATGTCCACGGAGAGTCAGATCCGTTCCTTAACTATCACTCCGGACTAGTACTTCGTACACATGCGAACCCTCTTCGTCCTTGACAGCAGCACATGGAAACGAAATGCTGGCGAGATCCCTCATGTATCTGGCCATGGTCTGGCCGAAATCCCAACACATGCTCCCACAGGAGAAACAAGACAGGAGACCATCGCCCTTGTTTTTGCCCATTGCGAAGTATGTACAAAGTATAATGACGTACGGAATCAACTGCAAAGTAAGAAATGAATGGTGCAGGATACCTCGAGGCCAGGCAAAGCTTCTTTTATGATAAACTATTACTGGTTTGTAGAATTTAGACGAGCTCATGCCTTGCGATGCTCCTCGATCGCCCGTCCTGCCTGTGAAGGGAGGCAAAGCCAGATACTCATGGTCTGAGGTGATGTGCGAGGATCTCGAACCGGTGGGAATCTGCGGATGTTCATTACCAGGTACAACAACTCCTCTGGTCGAAACCGAGTTTGACCACACTGTCATCCTCCAAGAAATTGTACTTTACAACCCTTCTAGACCAGTCTTGTGCGCCACAATATAGATAAGTACTTACTGCATCGTTTCCCCAGACTTCTCCGCTTCTAGAGGATTACATCGTTTGCCAGCCTGGACAAGCAGAGTGCTGCAGGTACTTGTACTCCGGTGCAGAACCCCTCTCAGGATGAAGCACGGTGACAGACCACGCCTTGGAACCGTCAGCTCTGACCATCAATGGAGCGTTTTCAAGCAATTGAGACGACGCCAGGAGTCTTTCAAGCCGGGGCGGTTAGGCTAACCTCAGATGGGGTAATGTGCAGATGGTAACCTGCAATAGTGTCAAAGTACTCTGTAGGTGTCCAGCCCATTATTAGCGTGGGGCAGGCGCATGTTCCTCTGTGAAGTTCTGTAGTAGTGTATGAAGAACTTGTAGCAAGTACCTGGACGACTTTCTATACTCTCTGGTACATCGTAGCGTACCTCGTCGGGGCAGTGCGTTAGGGGAGTCTGCTGGAGATGAGGTTGCTGTGTGTACCTGGGGTGGCGAGAGCGCTCAACCACCACACCCGCACCTGCCCGTCTCGTTTGCACCCCCTCCCTTCCTTCCCTCCTTCGGCAGGTATCGTCTGGGGGGTCCTCACCCCAAAGGAGAACGAACCCATGGTGCTACACCCCCCTACCACCCCTAAAAGAAAACCCCCCCCCCTTCCTTTTTCCGCAAAACTCGATCCTGGTGGCTCTTGTTGTACAAAGTACTTTCATCTCAGAGAGAGCGCATTGAGTCCAGGCACTGGTACTTGTATAGAAGAAGTGTCAAGGTACACTGTGCATTCTCCCACGACCGTGATACAGTAGTGGCACACTGAAGGACGTTTAGTACAGTTTAAACAGTTCCACCACGGTTTCTACTTCTTTTCAACTTGATGAAAATGTATATTAGCGGGTTACTCATGCACTAATGTGTAGGTAGACTGGACTCCATGGCGACAAGGTAACCACACGGTACCTTGTCCGTCACATCAACAGGGAATGTTACTAAAGAGTACGGGGCATGTGGGCTAGCTTGGCGCCTACCCACTTTTCTAGCAGCGCACTTCGTAGTTATAGTCTGGTCGCTCTGTCCAGCCAGCCAGCAATTGACGGAATTCTCCAGTGTCATTCTGAGTCTTATGGGCCTGTCTTTTCCCCCTGTCGCTCATCCTTTTTTCCTCAATGATACTTGAACGAATTCCCACGCCAACACTCTTTTTCTCCTTCGCCCTTCCGCCCCCCTCCACGCCGTCCAACAACATCGCCAGCATCTGATATTTTTCGATTTAGGGTCATTCTGTCGACACGCTTCTACAACCTTCTCATGTCATTAGCGCCCAGGTAGTCTTGAGCAACGCGCGGGATAAATAACTCACGACCCTTGACATGTGCGGCTCGATTGCGAAGTCATAATAATACAGGGCTTTCCTCGCGAACCTGACTGAGTTCTGGAACTGGAGTTTTTTCCCCATCTCTGCACGACCATCCCCCCCCCTTTTTTTTTGCAAGGAATCAGACTTAAAACCCCGAGAAAAAAAGGAGGAAAAAGGTCCAACCCAATCGCCATCTTCACCAAAATCTGTGGTTCGACCCATCCCGGCTTTGTCTACATGCGCATTCCTTGGCTTCTCTATCGACCTCAGACGGCATTCCGCGGAACAGCCTTCTCACGAGCGCATCCTTCTCTATAGATCGGAATGGCTAGCAGCATAAACGACGCCCCGCGCCCACCTGCGCATAACCTTCCAGCCGGGCTGAAGGACATTGTTAACGACGAGAATCGGGACTCGGCTTACTTCTCTAGCGATGCGTCCAGTAAGCGTACGTTTGCTAACCTCATTTCACATGCGCCGGCCACTCTTGCTATGACTCGAGCAATTGCGTGCGAACCTCAAAACGCTAACTAATGGTCCGTCTCAATAGACACGTCGGCCGCTTCCTTCGGTGTCAACATGCTCAGTCCACTCGGCTCGGCCTACCAGTCCTCTCCGGGGGACAAGACGCCATCCCCGACCTCGACTAATCTCGTCCCACAAGCACTAGTCTCGCCGAAGGGGAGTAGCATGAGCCTCTCCGCCGTCGTCTCTCCCACAGCGAATCCAGGCGCGACGAGGCCTAGCGAACCTCGACGATTCGACCTGGCCTACATCGACGGTGACTCGGCTTCCCGTCGAGAAAGCGTTGATAGCAGGATCAATCAGGGGTTTAACGATATGCGTATAGGAAATCCAGCATATGCCACTCACAACCACTCGGCCACGTCCATTCAGACCACTCTCAGCACACAAAGGAATCCTCGACCCGGGCTTGAGAGCTTGTCGATGCACCGCATCTCTAACGGATATCAGCCGAGCACCGAGCGCAACCCAGATCCGACTCCTAAAGCCGCCAGGACGGCACCCGCCATCACCGGACCCGCGACGAGCACTATTGCTAGGGCCGCTGAGCCTACGAAGGGACAAGCCTGGGCATTTCCTGAGGACGACCTCCCGCGTATTGGATCTAATGGAGCGCAATATCACGATTCGCGTCGCAGTAGTATTGCCGACTCCCTCGCAAGCAGTCAGTTCACGTCCGAGTCCCGCTTGCCTCCTGGCCAAAGACGTCTCGACGAAGCAGGCGACTATACCAATCGTCTCTCTAGTACGTCGGGCGAATTCCCTCCGGTCCACCACCATTCTCTGCAGCAGAGACACAGCGGCGAGCAACATCCCGAAGAAGGACGGGCACACGCGGGCTCGCAGCCTTACAGTCGAACGCCCGAATCTAGGCAGAGCCACAAACTCGCGGAGCGCAAGAGGCGGACAGAAATGAAGGAACTATTTGATCAGTTGCGTGATCTTATGCCTCAAGAGCGAGGATCAAAAGCCTCCAAGTGGGAGATTCTTACAAAAGGTAAGCGTATACTACGATTTTACGCAGGAGAGACGACCCGCATCTCTCTTTCGTGAAGTTTTGGCGGGACTCGATGCTAACTTGGACGCGCATAGCCATCTCCGAACACCAGCGCCAAACTGATCACATCCGGGCGTTACAATCTCATTGCAGCACTAGTGCTTCGGAAATCGACTTGCTGCGCAAGGAACTTCAGGCAGTGCGCGCGGAAAACAGTCAACTACGACTTCAACTATCCAAGACAGCACCACCACCGTTCCAGTCGCAGGTCGCTGTACCACCACCTCCCACTGTCACCAGCCAACCTCCGGCAGGATACGCGGCGCCGGATCCGTTCGCTAATTCAACGCGAACGGAACTTCCGCCGCTACGGTCTCTCGCCGGGGCCATGCCTCCCGGACCGCCCCCCGGACCCGACTCAATGACTGGCGTGCAGTACGAGTCATCCCGACCACCAAGCTTCCGCTCCGAACGGTTTTAGGGGAGGTCGAAACCACCCTACCATTGAGTTTGGTCCGTTCTCGTGTCGAGCAAATTTTTCTGCTTGCGATATCCTTCCTTTTTGAATACTTGACTCATTTTCCTTTGTCTGGTTAAACTCAAGCCCGGCAGGTGGGTGGCTATACCGAGCCTGTGTTCTTTTATTTTATTCCCTATATCATTTACCTTTTTTTTAAAACTTGTTTGGTGTAGATATACCCATGGGTCTTTTGTCCTCCCTTCATCTCAGGGGCTGGTACAGGGTTTGTGCGATTAGCTGAGATGCTTTTTCCCTTTGTTCTCTTTCTTTCTTCCCCGTTTTCTTTTCTTTGGTTCGCCTCGTGTTTCGCGCAAAGAAATTGTCGGGATTTGTTCTAGTAGCTTTATCTATTTTACGGGAGGAACGAGCATGGGTTGGATGGAGGTTATACACTAAGCCCGAGGCCTTTTTTCTGGATCGGTCGGGTTGAAGGGTTGCTTCTTTTGAATTGGATGGTAGGGAATCATCACACAATGGAAACGGCGCAGAAGGAAATCAAGCAGCGGATTTGCGGATGGCTTTTCTTTCTTTTTATGCCCTAGGACATCTGGGTTCTGGTGTTGGAAGGGGTGGTCAAGCAGACAGCGAAGGGGGGGAAGGGTAGCGAAACGCATCGTTAGGCTTCTCCGGGGACGGATGAGAGGAATGGATGGGGCCATGTTTCCGTCCTTTTTCCTTCCCGCACTTGGGAGTGGCACTATTTGACTTAGAAGAAGAAGAAGAAGAAGAAGAAGAAGAAGAGGACAGAGCAAAAAAAGTGTTAGAAAATATATTAATGCGGAACCGTGGCAATGCGAGCGGTGGCATAGTCTAAAGTTCGAGACAGCCTTGACACTGAGCTGGTGCTACATGATTTGTGTCGGAAGAAAGAAAAGGAAGGAAAATCTAACATGCCCGTGGAGGGTGAAGATTCTGGTCATGCCTGAAGAGTTTGTAAACCCTAAAGCATCAGTTTCTCTAACATCGTCGAGGCTGTCGTCTTCGTCGGTGGACGATGCTGGTCTAACCCCGCCAGCGCAGGGGCGACAAAGTGAATCCTGATCTGTCCGCCTTAGTCCTCTCTTCGCCAAGGAGCTCTTAACGCGTGAAGTGAGTGTTCAGTTTCCTGCGCGATCGTCACTTGCTAATAATGCCTTCGCCTAATGCCTACGAGACGACGTGGGGCGGCTGTCGTCGGGCTCTTGCTGCGCACGAGGTTAGGCAAACCTAGCATCATTAAATCCTTGGTTGGTTTGCGGGAGCTCAGCCGGGCAGAGAACAGTGTCGAGAACGATGTGGGTTCTGGTGTAGAGAGCGTGTCGAAACCCAGAGCGAACAAACCGCCCTACTGAACGGGCTCGGTTGGATGCTTAGCATTGAATCTTGTACACTTTGATAGGTTACGTCTCCCAGACAAAAAAGGGGTTGGAACCAGTAACAATGGCAGATATTTCAATGCGGAATGGCCTGAGCAGCCAGAAGACTTCGCTTTTTCCTTCTTTGCGGTTGGTTGATGGAGCATGATGGAGCATTTCGTCACCAGCCCTGTCGATTGATGAAGGTTGAGGTGGTGGTGGTCCGAACACTGAAGTCCTCAGGTATCAAGTTACTGAGGCTGGGCTAAAAGGAGGACTCAAACAATTCGAAGTGTGCACTCAAAGCTCGGGACAATCGATGTGGTCAAAATCTTGGTCGGTGTGGGGATTTGGGATTTGGTGGGGGTGCAATTGTAGGCGATCAAATGATTTTGATATTGCATTATGGAGATGAGTGGCTCGATACCGAGGCTCTGGCGCGGACATTCAATCTTTGATGTTGCTTGTGGTCTAGGATCAATTACGGGACCGGCGATTTGTTGTGTTGTTGTGCTTAGAGCGGAATCGTAATTGATTTGATCAATCAATCTCACAGGGGACGAAGCAACTAAGCAAGCCACCTCTCCCACTGTACGAAGTAACATGAGGCTTCTGCGGGGTAGTACAGCGGCGAATTGGGGGGTGCTGGGGGAGTATTGGGGGAGTATTGGGGGCGAAACTTTGGAGAGTCTTGGGCGCTATTACGAAGTAGGAACTTATTTCGACCGTCTGAAGTAATCTAGGTAAGGTACCAATCTGCAAAGCAAACTCAAGACCGTCGCAGGTTAGAATCGAGCTGCCGTCTGGTTTTCTGTTTGTCCGGTGCCACTAAAGGAAAAAGCCAAAGAGCCTCGGCATCCGAACAATGAATGAGCCATTCAATTATTAATGGTCTGTCAACGTCCAGCTTCGATGCCGACTGAGTTGAACCCTCAACGTTCATTTCAGTTCCATTTGATGGTCAGACCTGAAGGAGAGGGCCATCAAATGATATTGATTCCTAACGGCCTAATCCCATCCGAGCCTTAATTCCAGTTGCAGCGTTGGGTTTCAGCCCGAAGAGAGAGACCCTTCTTGTATATTTATTTTCGTCTTTTTCTCGTCTGGCACTGCTCCTGTTCTTGGTTGTCGATTTTCCCTGGCGAAGTAACCATCACAAAACAACTACCTTTCTGAGCTAGTCTCCCCCAGCCAGCCAGCCGAACCCCTCAATCCTTGAATCTTTGGTTCTCGGCTTCGTGGGCTAGACCGATTCAACCTGCACCCCACTAAAAACCCTACTTTATACACTGCTACCTACGCCTCCAACGAACGTCCTGCGACCGACCATCCACCATCGGTCATCGACGACTGAACGACTCGCACATCCTAGAGCTTGTGAACCCGGCCGCACAGCTCTCTTCGTCCCTTCTTCCTCCCCTCGCGAAACCTTCTTACTCTACCCTCATATTTTATCCAACGTAACCCCTAAAACCACCGGAAAAGAGTCAACTCGCCACCATGTCCTTCCTCGGTGGCGGAGCCGAGTGCTCCACGGCCGGCAACCCGCTGAGCCAGATGAAGAGCCACATGCAAGATGACAAGTCTCTGCAGCGCGATCGTATGGGCGCGCGAGGCCCAGCCAGTGCCGCGGGCGGCTTCCGGACGGCAAACCCCGTGGCTCCCCAGGACGAGGTAAGCTTTGGAGAGCTCTCCAAGGGGCGGTGGGATGAGCCTTTCTTTCACATGCTAATCAATCTCTCTCTCCTTGCCGCAGATGATGAACGGGTTTCTTAACCAGACACCCGGCCTCCAGCAGCAGAACGGTCCCCTGATCGACACGGCGCACGGCGTCCACCTCCGCGCGAGCTCTGCCTCCCCGACCTGGGGCCACGCCGGCTTCGCCCACAGCCAGCCGGATCTGCTTCGGCCCCAACATAATGCCAGCCCCTTCAACGCGCAAGAGTTCGCCCGCTTCAACGCCGCCATGAACCCCGGCGTATCGTCCTCGTCCATGACGAGCGCCGTGCCCGCCCCGACTATGCAGCAGCAGCAACCCCACCTCTTCGGAGGCAGCATGGGCATGGCGAGAGCCTTCCCCATGATGGGACACAGCGGGATGCAGTACATGGGTCAGCACACACCTTTACAACAACAGCAGCAGGCTCCCGACGTGAAGGGCAAGGGCAAAGTAGTAGAGCTGGACGACGAAAAGTGGCAGGAGGAGTTCGACCGCATGGCACTGCTCGACTCCCAGCAAGCCGAGGTTCCAAAGGAAGAGGCCGCGACGAGCCAGACGGCCGACGGCGGCGTCCAGTCCGAGACGCTAGACGGCGATTTCGAGTCCATATGGCGGGGCATACAGGCCGAGAACGCCACGGCGAAATCCATGACCGACGGCGAGGAGCAGATCGACTGGGCCAACTACGACTTCACCGGCTTCGACGACTGGAGCCGCGAGATGCCCCGCCTGCCCGAGGAGTACCTCTTTGAGGAAGAGAACCTGTTCAAGGACGGCAACAACGCCTTCGAGACCGGCGTCCGGATCATGAAGGAGGGCGGGAACCTCTCGCTCGCCGCCCTCGCCTTCGAGGCCGCCGTGCAGCAGAACCCGGACCACGTCGAGGCCTGGGTGTATCTCGGCACCTCCCAGGCCCAGAACGAGAAGGAGACGGCCGCCATCCGCGCGCTGGAGCAGGCTGTCAGGCTGGACCCGGATAACCTCGAAGCTCTCATGGGGCTCGCCGTGTCGTACACCAACGAGGGCTACGACGCCCGTGCGTACAGGACGCTCGAGCGCTGGCTTTCGGCCAAGTACCCGCAGATCATCCCGCCCGACAAGCTGCACCCACCCGCCGAGGTTGGCTTCACCGAAAAGGCCCAGCTCCACCAATCCGTCACCGACAACTTCATCAAGGCGGCGCAGCTGGGCCCCGGAGGCGAGCACATGGACCCGGACGTGCAGGTCGGCCTCGGCGTTCTCTTCTACGGCATGGAAGAATACGATAAGGCCGTCGACTGCTTTAAGGCTGCGCTCGACTCGGCCGAGATCGGCACGTCGACGCAGCGCGAGCAGGTCCACCTCCTCTGGAACCGCCTGGGCGCCACCCTCGCCAACAGCGGCTCGCCCGAGGAGGCCATCGGCGCGTACCAAAAGGCCCTGACCCTCCAGCCCAACTTCGTGCGCGCCCGGTACAACCTCGGCGTCAGCTGCATCAGCATCGGGTGCCCCGAGGAGGCGGCGCAGCACTTCCTCAAGGCCCTCGAGATGCACAAGTCCATCGAGAAGGAAGGCCGCGCGCAGGCTTTCGAGATCCTTGGCGGTGGCGCGGGAGGTGGTTCGAGGGCCGGGCTGGGCGAGCAGTTGGATCGGATGAGCGGGCAGAATAGGAGCACGACGTTGTATGATACGTTGAGGAGGGTGTTTACGCAGATGGGGAGGAGGGATTTGGCGGAGAAGACGGTCGTTGGGGTCGATCCTGAGATTTTCAGGAAGGACTTTGACTTTTAGCGGTGGGAGGGGGGACTGCGGAGGGGGTGAGAGAGAGAGGAGAAGGGGTGGTGGGTGTAGATTGTATTCTTGGGAATGACTTTGAGTGATGGGAGAGGGCGGAGGAGAGAGGAAGAATAGGGGGGATATATATATTACATATTGCATATAACATCGCCGTTGCTACTACACGTATCGACTATAGCTCCTCGAAACGAAAAGAGAAACCATTCCGCTTTGACGTTGGGATTGGATAGTGGGTGCAGAGGGAGAGGATGCTGAACGAACACTAGTTTACTACTACTCTGTCCTTGCCAGATATCTATATCTAGATGGATACTTAGAATCGATAGAGAAAAGGAAACAGACAATGACTTTCTCCCGATCCTGGTGTTTTTACACAACCAGCAGCTCTTCTTTTTTCAGTGTCTAATGTTCTTCTCCCAAGCCTTTGAGGAGAGTGTCTCTTTTTTCTCTTTGGCGGAGTGCAAGAAATTAGAAGGAAGATGAGACTACATACAGAGACGTCGTACTTTCTCGGTCCCTCTTCCTGAAGACTCTATATTTCCCCCTTAATATTCAGAGAGGAAAGAAGGAGAGGAAGAAGAAGAAAGATTTCTAAAACGCACATGGGAAAACAGACAGTAGAAACGAAGAACTGCATGAAAAGAAGCGAGGAGGCACAAAAATAGAAGAGGAGAAAACAAGAAAAAAGACAAAAAGCAAGGCCGGGGTATCATGTCTTTTCATCAAGTCGTAAACCCTCGCCCTAATGTTCCTTGTACTTCTTCCTTAAAACACAACTAAGATCAGATGAGGGATAACACAAGACCGACGATCAAGGGAACAACTCGAAACCTAGTCAAGAACACTTAAAAAAAGGAGACCCAAAAATATATATTACAGAGCCATCCCATCACTTGACCGTCACGAATGCGACACCATCGCGAGCCTTCTTAACAGCCTTCCTCAGGGCCTGCTCCTCGGTGTCCGTCCACTTGACGCTCAGCTTATCCCACTTCATACCGGGTGTGTTATACTCCTGTCTCCACGTGGTCCTGAGCGCCTGAAGTTTAGACATGTCGCGGGGGTCTCCCGAGCCACTGAATAGGAGAAAGACCGTGCAGGGTGGCAGGGCTTCGTAAATGCGTTCTAGACGCTCGACGAGCTGGCGAAGGCAGGCTTCGATGGCCGTCTCCCCGTCTTGGATGTAGAGGTGGTCGAGCTCGGGAGGTCCGCCGCCGCCATCGGCGTGTCGCGGATTTTGGCGGTTCTTGTTCCACCAGCCGCGCAGGGCTTCCAGCTCCCGCATGCGCGCCCACACAAAGTCGACGCCTCCGGCGCGAATCTCGGCACCGTCCGCGTCGCCTTGGATGGCGCGGATAACAGATTGCGCTACCTCTTCGTCGTTCTTGCAGCCGAGTGCGTGCGTTGCCCCTCCGCCAGGCCCCTTGCTCGGCTCGCCCCAGTCAATCGCAGCACTCGTCTTGATAAAGTCGCCCACGTTAGTTGGTGCTTGCGCCTGGCCGTTATACGAAGACCCAGCCCGTCCGAGTCGGCGGAAGAGGTTCTCGCCGTTGCCCTCAAACTCTCCCCAGGCCCTACCCTTTTCGCACTTTTGGCGAGTCAGGTCAAGACAAGCTTTGGCATCTTCGATACTGTTGTGGCCAGCTGCGCCGTGGCCGAGTTGAATCTCCCGCCCCAGATACTTGGAAGTGAGCCACTTTAACGCCGATTTGAGGGGAGGGCCCCGCGGGTGCGGAAAGATGATGGAAGTGTCGACGATGAACGGATGAGTGAGTTGGAGGGCCTTCATATCCGATTCTAGTGAGTGTCCCACAAGTATAGTTCTAGGGGTGAGGAGTTCCACAAGGGTGTTCTGAATGTCACGAAGGGTGGTGGTTATCGGCTTAAGCATCGCTTCAGTAATGCCGGAGAATCGGGTGACGTAGTCGAGGACGGGTTTGTCCGGCTTCACCAGCTGGTCCAAGACAACTTCGCCGTCCCAACTGACGACGCTGATTCTGGCCAAGGAGAGCTCATCTTCGCCCGTCTTGACCATCTCACAGTCTATAGCCAGCACCCGTCTACCGGCAGTCACACTCCCATTCTCGATTTCGTCTTCGGGAACGTCGGCGTCTTCCAGCTTATCGACTTTCGTCGCAACCCAACCCTCGGGAAGGCTAAACGATGCCTTTTCCTCCTCATTCGTCAAGAACGCAGGGTGGAGGACGTAGCCGTTATCGATTAGTTCTTCGCGAGTAGTTAAGAAGTGGGTGATCCTCGTTCGCTCATCCTTGAAGCCAGGTGGATCATGATGTTTCGTGCTCCCACCATCTTTGGCTTTCTTCGGTAGCGGAGCCGTAAGGAAGGCTGCGAGGGGAGAATGCATACGAGATAGTCTGTCATCGCCGGGGGTCTTAACGGGCCACAGGCGGTTGAAAATGTCACCCAGCGGCTTTAGCGTGGGGTGTAGGCCGTCGGCGTTTAGAACTCGCGGGTAAAAGGCATCAGGGTTATTATCACCGCCGTTCTCCATGGCAGTCGCCTTGTGCTTCGCGGCGAACTTATCAAAGTCCGAGAAGTCGACATTGGGGGTAAACATGGATTCCTCAATGCCTGGAATCATTATCGAAACAATCTTCCTAACTTGGACACGGTTCGCCACCGACACCCACTTAGGTGCAACACCATCGGCAAATATGTATAGAATGAGATCCCTGAAGTCGGCTAACCGGACCTTGCTATAGAGCTTGGCGTTTGGAGAAAAGTCGATCGAAGGATACTTCTTCTTGTCTTTGCGAGGCAGCTTCCTCGCCTTCTTATTGCGGTGTACGGTCTCCCACCCTCCATCATCGCCGGCAGCGGCTACGTTCGCTTCTACCGAGTGTGGATCGAGACTAGCGTCGAAATCATGGGGAGTCGTTCGCTTAAGACCGCGACCTATTGTGTCCTCTGTCTCTAAGGGAAGAATGGAGAGGACCGTATCCTGAGTGATAGTTCCGTTCTGATCATGGACGCTGCTGGCCTCGTCAGAGGAAGAATGGCCCGCTGGACTAGAGGCGAACTCTTCAATCTGTGAAGGGCTCGCGGCGGTGGCAGCAGCCTCTTTCTTGGCTGCGTGGATGCGTTTCTTGACCTTGACCACTTTCTTCTTCTTCTCTTTAGTTCGTTTACCCATATCGAAATGGGGTAACTTTAGCCGTTAAGCGAAACAGCTGATGGCCCTCGATTTAGGGCTTCCCGGAATGTTTCGGTCAAACAAAATTGTCGTTGGCTGAGGAAGCAAGAACAGCTCGCGTTCGCAGGAGCGCAGGAGCGCAGGAGCACAGAAGCGTGGAGTTCCTAAAGAGCAGGAATTGGTGAGGGGATTGAAGTGAGCAAATCCCACGTTCTTTAGGAGAGAAGAACAAGGAAAAATAGGCAAATGCTATTTTAAAATAGAAGACAGGAAGAGCAAAAGCATAAAGGAACAGGGAGGCTCTTTTATGAAAGTTCAAGCTCGAAGGAGATCCCAGCTGTGGGTGTAGGTGTGGGGAGAAGAGAAAATGTTGGTTGGCTGTACACCGCCTTGGAATTGGAATTCTGCCGTGACTTTCAAGATGGAATGGGAAAAACCCCAAAAGCCACCAGAAGGGGCACCCCTGGTCTGTGTTAAACGATTTGGGTGGCTAAAGTGTGGGGAAGAAGTAAAGTCTTGATTTTAGCATATACTAGGATATTGAATACTGAAGTAATAAAATTAACTATAGCATTGAACTAGAGAGGTGCAGCTCAACACTGCTGCACAATTTTGGGTGTATAATTTGTACCTGTGTACAAAGTATATCCCGCGTATAATTCTTAATTGTTACACGTCTTTGACTCTATTGACGCGACGCTGCCATCTGGACTTCATCCCACTTCCGCCAGCAGAGCAGGAGTGCTTTCTTCCTCACTAAGCCAACTTTCCATGCCTCGACCACCTCAATGCCTTCTTTTCATCCTACTTGATAACACCAGGATCTACATACTACTTTGGAATGCCTAACTTTCTCATTTAAGGACCACCATCTCTTGCTATATGTGGGACCTGACAGGACCACCAGCTACCATGGAGCGCCTCACTTGTAAATGCGCCCAATGCAAAGCCAACCTTGGCCAGTTTATAAACCTCTGGACCAAAGTCGGCAAGAGCTATTACAGCCCCATCATTGACGCGGCCGAAACCCGGGGGATAAGCGCCAAGGGTCAAACTAGGAGCGGGGAGCAGAATACCCTTGTGGAAGGGTGGTACGTTTTACATTATGTTCGTCCCTTGTTTGTTTCAAAATGGGGACTGAAGGACTTTTAACTCTGATATTCAAGAGGATTTTTGAGACTGACTTTTAAGGGGTTTGTGTCTGGTGGTTTAGCCAATTGCAAGATGTCGTCTGTTCTAAGTGTGACACTGTCATCGGTCTCAAATGCCTCCAGCCACCAGTCAACCATGTATTTGAAGAGTAAGTTCATTCATAACCTTTATTCTTGTCTCTTTCATTACAACTGCAACTTCACATCCGTCTTTTTCCCATCATCATTGTCAGAGTCTATCTATAGGTAGGATTTCCTATCTATATAATCACTAACCCCATGGTCCATCTTACAGTAACCAGCTACTCTTACGGCTGCCATCAGTCACTCTCACCACAAGCCACGGCAAAAAGGTAGAGCCCGTTATCAAACGGACCTTGAAACTTAAAGGTGTGGGATCAAGTCATGACAGAGACTCCTCCAGCTCAGTTCCTCCACCACCTTTCAACTCAGGTTTTACACCGTCGGGCCATCAGCAATTCGATGCTGTGGACCTAACCAATCTGCAAACCCTCGTGGACATCCAGCGGGCAGATATTAACCGCATCGACGCCGCCGGCTGCCAGATTGTCTCTGCCTTTGATAGCTCCGTGGACCGTATCGAGCGCGAGGTTAAGAAGCTGCACGACACCATGCTTCATCTGCGTCGCGACCTCGATGGGAACCGCGAGGATATCTCATCACTCAAAAACGACATTGACGAAATGAAAAGGGATATCCGTTCAACGAGCGCGGAGACCATGCGCCTAACGGCTACGGTGCAAGAGCTCCGGCAGTCCGTCCCTAGCAAAGAGACGGTCGCCCGGCTTGAGGATCAGCTGCATGCAGCGACGGCAACAATCGCAGATTTGAGCCAGTCATCCTTAGATCGAGCTGCTGAGACTGCCAATCTCCGGCGGGAACTTAGTCTGGCAAAGACTGAGCTGCACCGTATGCGCGACGGTGAGAAGGGCCTAAAAAAGGCGATTGAGGATGTCAAGAAGGCGTCCAGAGATAGTCTGGCCCTCACAAATGGCAACTTTGCCAGAGAAATGGCAGATCTCCACTCGGAGGTGCGCCTACTGCGCCAGGAAGTCAACCAACGTCCTCCGCCCCAACAGAGCTCGCCGCAGAATAATTTCTCGGCAAAGGAGCTCGACATCCTTACGAGCAACATTGCCAAGATCGGCAACCGTGCCAGCCAGATCGAGACACTCCAGATGGAGTTTCAACTTTTCAAGTCGAGATTGCAGCGGGTTGAGGCTTCCATCAAGGCCAAGGCTGCGCCGCCCGAGTCTCGCCGTACATCGACTAATCTTAGCGCCCTATCCATCTTCCCGGACGACGGCGACGAGGACGGCTCCATCGGCTCCCTTCAAAACGTATCAACACCCTCTTCACCTGTCCCGACGAGGCGTAAACGCAATGTGACGGCCCGGGAGCAACTCGGTGACCACGATACGACTCCGAGTAAGCGCCCGGCATTCTCATCGGACTTTTCGAACGTTGACGCCCCAGACTATTCCGCTCTTACGGAATGGCCAACGACGTCTCCGTTGGAGAATGGAGGTCCTAGCGGCGCAGCGAAGAACGGGAATAGGACGCGGCCGCAAACGAGATCGAGGGGTCGGCCGAGGAAGCCATTGGCCAGCAGCTAAGAAGCTGAATTTTTGTGCCTGGGTGGAAGGACAACACCGCGTTTACGAATCTTTTGTTTTTTTCTTCTTTCCTTTTTCTTTGGCTCTCTTTTTTCTTTCGTTCTTCTTCTCTTTTTTTTTCCTGTTCTCTTATGCGGTGGAGTCCTGAGTTGTTGTTACTTGGCGTTGATAATATGATTTTGTCCATGCTTTGCAGGGGTGATAGGTGATGAGTTGGATTCGATCGAGATACCCAAAATATAAAATGCGATTTTCCCGTGCGCCCATATATAACCCGTGAGATCCAGCAGCATACATATATAAACGTTCCGGATATCCAAGTATTACTCTCCAAAATCCGCCACAACCATCCTTGCCCCCAACTCCGCCAACCCATCCAACAAATCCACCATCCTCCTCCAAATTCCCAACCAAGCCTCATCGCCACCCTCCCTGCTCTCCCACTGCTCCATGACCTTCCTCGACGCAGCATCCAAACCCCACGGAATCCCCCGAACGGCCTCCCGCCCCTCCCTAACCTGGACGGCAAGCGGCCAATCATCCAACTGGGTAACGGGGACGTAGTGCTCGAGCATATCGAAGAGCATTCGCCCCGTGGCTACGGCGTCCAGGTCCACCAGCAGGTCAACATCGACGTCCCTCGCACCGCTCGCGGCGACCTTTTCCGTCCGCGTGTAAACGGCGCGTAGGCTCGAGGCGTAGACGGATCGGTCGGCCGTGGCGTTCGAGAGCGCTCGGCAGAGTGCCAATGCCCCCTTTAAACGGTAGGGATTGGCGGGGTTAGGGTGCGTGAAGGGATGGATTCTACAGGCTGCCAGACAGGTGATGAGAAGGGATTCAGTGTGAGCTTCTCGGGAGAGGTAGTACGTGAGGCAGTCAGTCAGGAAAGATGGGGGAAGCATGGCCCAGAGGGAGGTCTTTATCAAGGGGGAGCAGATTTTGTATTCTGCGCGAAGGCGCGGGAGGTCCTTGGGCTGGTCGGAGGGCATTTGCGGGAGGTCTTCGATGGCGTTGTGGATGGTGGTTTGGAGGGTTGTTCCTTTGGGGAAGGGGGAAGAAGAGGGTGAAGGGTTGGTGAGAAGGTTAGGGTCTTGAATGAGGCTGAAGGCGTTGGCTTTGATGGTGGCTGGGTGGAGGAGGCGGGTCGCGTCGTAGATGTTGAGGTCGTCTTCGCAGCGGGGACATTTGCATTCGAAGTGGTATTTGGCGAGGTCTTGTTTGCGTTGAGCCAGAGGGTACGAGGGATCTGGTAGAAACGGTTAGGTCGAAAGGATGTATTGTCTTTTTTCGAAAGTGATAGTTACCGGTATACGAGATGGTCACTTCTTCGTCTGCCTCGATGGGTCTCTCAGACACGAGAATGGCGGTCCGACCAAAGATGTGTGCGCTTGCATTCGGCACGCAAGAATGATTCACCATAGCCAGTCCGCCGTCAAGAAAGACGGCATCGTATCCCAGATCAGGATCATGTACATTAAACATGTTTGTCAAAAGCTATACCAAACGTCCCATCAGTAAAATAATTCTTGGATCTCACTCTCACTCTCTCCCTCCATGTCTCCCACTCTCCCGATCTCTCATCCACACCACCGCTCTCTTGTTCTCTTCCTCCCTCTACCTCGCACACACTCTCTCCGACTTTCACACACACAACCCCTGACTGTCCCTCTCCCCACAAGACGAAGAGCCCTTACCTTGCACATAGCAACAGCATACTTCCCAACCACATCCCCACCCCCAACCCACTCCCTCTCCCCTCCCAAAAGCATCCTCACCATCTCCCCCTGCAGCCTCAAATCCCCCCACACCCTCCCTCCCCTATCCCTCCTAAACTCCCCCTCATGCCCAACCAACCCTCCCACAACAGCCCCCCAAACCTCTTTCCTCACGACGACCTGCAACAACGCCCTTACGGGCGTCGGCAGCTCCCTCCCCGCCGGTACGTTCTTCAAGGCGGCACACTCGGCCTTGTGCACGAGCTTCCACGACGCGCGCTGGCACGTCTTGGAGCAGTAGGACACGGCACGGCAGGCCGAGCATGGGTGCACGGCGGGAGGGGTGCGCAGGCAGTGGTGGCAGGTTTGGAGGGAGGTCGCGGCCGTCGGAAGGGCGAGGAGCGGGGAGGTATAGGTTGCCAGGCGGGTGGATGGGGAGACGGAGGTGGTTGTGTGGAGGGAGCGGCCTTTGGGGGAGGAGGTGGAGCCGTGGACGGCGAGGGTTGGGGTTGGGTCGGCTGGGGACATGAGAAAGAAATTTGGGAGTGAGGATGGGAAAAGGAAGAAGGCAAGACAACGGGAGTTGGATGGGGGATTACGTCAGACTAAACGGATCGCAGGAGGAAAGCGTTGGCGTGCAACAATCGATCGATATCTGGCAATGGCTCAAGGACGCAAGAGAATGCCTCTATGCATTGCTTTCGGATGTTGTGCGACTGAGGCCCCGCCCAAGTTCGCGGACAGCAACAGGGCCAAGATGTCACCGAGAGCCATGTGGGGCATCAAGCATTCACACAAAAGTGTCCGGTTCAGTCAAGTTGCTGCAGCTTGGCGGCGTGGCAGAAGCATGCATCCGCCACACTTCCCAGTACGCATCATCAGCTCGCTCAGCCGCAGGTTTATCGTGGAGCAGAGCGGTTAGCCAAGAGATCGTTTACGCGTCATCGCATCACCAATTGGATCAATTGAGCCGTGCGACTTAGACTTCCCGATCCTCCTATCGTCCCGTAAGAGACAGCGAGGTTTCACAGTGCATCGACCTGTGTCTCGTTTGGGGGGGGGATGCAGAAGTTCCATCCCAGAAACGTGGGACGCGGCAAGTGGCTGGAGTTTTGAGGCTGAGCTGGAAAGCAGCGAAGCGGGGAACAACGTGAGTGCCGAGAACTGCGGCTGGATCGCCAGCAAAACATGAGATTCTTACCAGATTTGATGATAATCTTACAAGTGCATCAAAGTCCCCAAGCCTAAGACCACTATTTTTAGCTAGCGGCCCTCTTTCAGAAGTAAGTTTAAATCGCTTTCTCCGAGAAGTATACACATTGTATACATGATGGGTCAATGTAATGATTTGATGGGCAAAGGACGGGATCGACGAGTGTCAGCGTTGCAGGGCTGATGGCTGTGATCAGCATGAAATGTTATGGGGATTGACGATTGACGTCGTCGTGGACCGGGGATTTTACGGGTGCTACACCCTGTGGTCCTTCCATGGTTCCGAAGTTGGCAGATGGGGCGATCTTCCAAGGACGGTGGAATTGCAATGCTAGTTTCGCAGCGGACAGGGTAATACAGAATGTGCTTCGTACGAAGGATAGTGAAATCTAGTGTGCAAAGAGAAGGAAGGTCGTTTGGCCGAATTATCGACGAGGGATTTGCGAGCACCTCTTCCCGCAGCACCTGTGACAAGTACATCCAAGTGTCAAGGGAATGCAACTTCACTTGCAAGAATTATCCGAGGTGCAATGGTTCAGCCCCAAAAGCAATCATCCCAGTCGCATAATGAGACGCGGTGCCGAACCATCATCTTGCATGCAGAGGGTCCCGCTAATAATAATGGCTGCATCCTAATCGTACATCGCAAAACAACAGCAAGGGAAGTCTCGTTCCTCCAAATACATTGATCCGACGTAGGACGCGGGCAGAAGATGAGTTGTGATAACGGCTCTTCCTTCCGTGACGCAGACGGTTGAATGCCACAAAACTTGGGCATCTCGACAAGCCAAGCGATTCTTTGCAGTATGAGTATTTCGGGTTTATGAGCACTGGCAACTTGTCTCACACAAGGCATCGGACCCTTGTGCTCCCTGCAGGGCAAAAGAAGCAACATGAAGCCGCTAAAACAGGGGGAAATTGGGATGGGATGGGTAACGGACAAGGGGGCCGGGCACTACTAGGTTGGTACGTTCCTCAAGAGTACATCCATCACACGAGACACTAGAACTTGTTGCTTTTGGTCCCTCTGGCAGGAGGCAGCCAGCCAAGCCCTCATACTCCAATTCCCATGGGTCCGTGTGCGGTGTTTGTGTGTGTGAGAACTAATTATCAAACTTTCGACGAATAGACTAGTGGAGTCGGCGCACGAGTGGAATGCTGCAAGGGCGTCGATCGTACTGAAGGCAAATGAAGCTTGACATCTTGGAAGCCGGGCTTGCTCGCCCTTTGAGAGAAGGCCCATCTCAAGATGCTTATTTTGTTTCTCCCGTTGTGTTGAGCAACCCAATACTTCGTACAGGCAAGAATATTGAGATTATTGCCGTCATCTATTACTTTTTCACTTGTTAATGGTGGAAACCAATCAATCAAGAATCAAAGTAGTATACTTCGTGCAAGTTGAAGACGGTTCCAGTGCCTTTGGTCATGCATCAGTCTCACCTCAGCCCCAGGATTAGTAGACGACGGTCTTCTCGAAACGGAACAGGGCTGAGCTGAGCCACGACTCAAGACGAGTACTCGGCATTGCGACCGAGAAACCGGCAACATTGAATTTTTACTTCCGAGTGTACTTCGTACTTCGTAGTGCAGTGGACTCGGACCCAGCAGCACAGCCCGTCAGTATTAATCTAGTGCTGGCGGCTTGATGGATATGATGCCCGTTAGACTCCACAAAACTGCCACAACGATCAATTGATCTCGGCTTCTTCGGGCTCGATTTCTACTGTTCCGTTCTAAACACTCTGAGCCCTTCAACCAAGAGTTCCCGAGTCCCGCTGGAGGGTAAAAACTCGCCATGGTGGCCAAAATGGCCTCGATTGGTCCTGCGGGGTGGTAGCAGTATTTGGCCCTTGAACGTGAAGCTAAGTTTCGTCTCCCTTCAAATTGACGTGAGTGATGGAAGGACGAGTTAATTACCTGTGTACTTCGTAAATTGTATCCACGACGTTCCTCCCAGCCGCAGAGTGCACCTACCCCATCAAATTGATACCGACAGTAATCGCACTGTAGCTCCCTACCAAATGAGGCAAGTGGGCGGACCTGGGGCTGAGGCTTGGGTACCTGGGCTTAATCTGCGACTCCACGCGGATTGCCGAGTACACATGGTGAAATTAGTTAGGGACATCTCCATACAGTTAAAATGACACTGTTACCTTGCATTTCCCTTACCAATTCTACGCAGGTACGGCCGACAAAGCACTTGCAATTAGACGAAATATACTTCGTAGCGTATTAGTGTAGTTTACGGCCCCCAACGTTCCGAGAGACTTGAATGCTGCATTCCTGCCGTCCTTCCGTTCGTCAAAGCACGACTTCGAAATTGGGGCAATGCTGTTGCCGTCGCCAGTAAATTAAGAACTCGCTGAACTGGTAAACATTCTTCATCGGCTCTGCCCTCCCATGTACCAAAGTATACCTTCCTACTAAGTACACCACGAAGTACACTTCATTCGAGACCCCTCCATCCGCGCAATGCTTACCCGAACCTCGCAAGGAAAAGAGGGACAGAGACGGAGACGGGGACGGGGACGGGCGAGGAAGCAGGGATACGTAGCACGACCCTAACCCAAGCCTCGACCGGAAACAAGGTTCCAGTCCTGAAAGAGGCGAAGTACCTTGGCTCATGCTATCAGAGGAGGGGGGTGCCACCGAACTGGAACTGGAACAGAAAGTGTGAGCTAAACTAGTCGGACCATCGTTCCCCATAATCCTTGGCGGAGCACCTCTCAAACTGGATGAAAGTCGCGACTCTTCTTATAAAAGGGGGTGTGATCCAGCGCGGAGTTATTTTTGTTCCATTCGATCCCCAGTCCTCTCTCTCTTGTACGTCTCTTATCCTGTGCCGTTCTTCATCTTGATACCCTCAATCAAGGCCTTTCCTTCTTTAAACCCACCAAATTCGATTCTCCTACCAACCAATTCCTCTCTTTTCCACCATCGAAGAACCCGCCAAAATGTTCTCCAAGACCCTCCTCGTCTCCACCCTCACGGCCACGGCCCTCGCCCTCGCCGCCCCCGAACCCGTCATCACCGCCGCCCCCGCCGTCCGCGCCCGCGGCGTAGGCGACACCCTCGGTGAGTTCGGCAGCAACGTCGACGACATCATCGGCGGCGCGAGCTCCCTCCTGGGCGGCGCCGGCAGCAACATCGGCGACGTCATCAGCAACGTCGGCGGCGACGTAGGCGGCATCCTCAGCAACATCGGCACCAACCTCGGCGACCTCGGCACCTGCGTCTCCATCGCCCTCGAGATCGCTACCGAGGTTCCTACGCCCCCCGAGAATATCGCTTCGGCTATCGGCAGCGCTCTTGCTACGGCTTCGCCGACGGATAACTGCTTCGCTAGCGTTATTCCTACTTCGCTTTCCCAGGAGTATCAGGCTTATGAGTCGTCGCTTGCCTCGTGGTATGCGGCTAATAGCAACAAGATTAGCTCGCTTGTTGAGGCTTGCCCTACGCTTCCTGATGAGCAGAAGTCCTCGCTTGCTAGCGTTACCCCTTGCGCTACTGCTCTTGGTGCCAGCTCTGGTGGCAACGGTAGCGGCTCCGGTTCTGGTTCTGGTTCCGGTTCCGGCTCTGGCTCCGGCTCCGGGGACGGCGGTAGCGCTGCTCCTTCGATCCGCATCACTGGTGCCGTTGCTGGTGTTGCCGCCGCCGCCATCGGCGCTGCTGCTTTCCTCCTCTAAATAAGAGCGTAAGGAGTATGTGTTTTGATACCTGAGGGGAAAACGGGGTGTGAAGGGAACTTATGAGTTTGGGCCCAAATCGGTCAAGGCTTGTTAGTGACGGGAGACATTCGATACTTCATGTTTATAATGCCCATTTTTACATCTTTTTTTTGGATTCATTCTGCGGAGCAATTTTAGTCAAGACTTTTATACCACATTCAGAGGGGACTCGATAGGATAAGAATTTGAGAGCGATTTTGAATTGCGCAAGCAAGCCGAAAGGGGGTGTTCCAGAATGTGATGTGCAATTGATTGTAAATATCAAGTTCTGGGTTGACTAGAGAGCTCGTGATCTGAGGCTTGACTTAACACCGAACATTGACCCATGTGAACTTCACTTGCTCGTGTGAGAGCTAGGGAAAGAAGAAGAGGGGGAAATTTGTGATGCCGCAAACATTGGTCATGAGTTTCTATTTGCTCTCTTTGTGATGAAGTTTTACCTTTCATCTGTTGATATGTAGTCTATTATACCGAGTCTTCAAGTGTTCGACGCCGCGTCATTACCTGCCATTATCCCCACGAATGATGCTTCCCAAGCCATCCATGATGTATCCTCCCTTTCACGTCCTTCTTCTCATGATCTCCCATCCCAATTACCCTCGGTATTACAGGATGGCCAGGCCAAGACCAACAACAAGACCCATCACGCCCAAAAAGCCGGAACCAACCCTCACCGCACCACTCCCCTGATCACCCGCCTTGACGCCCTCCGCCTCCTCAGCGACACCCTGATCGCCACTAGTTTCGCTTCCTCCCGAAGAACCCTCGCCCGCCTCTCCCGAGCCAGTAGTAGGAGCACTCACACCTCCCGTCCCCGTCGCACTCGGCGAAGTTCCATTCCCCGACGGCGACGGCGTAGGCGCGTTCGGCAAAGGCTCCGGAGCCTCCAACCACCCCCTCGACGCAGCGTTATTTATCCCATCAAACAGCAACGCCGCCATCTTCCCGTAAGCCTCGCCGGACGGGAAAAACTCCCCGTCGACCTCCTCGGTGAGATCATCCGCCGTAACGCCCTTGTCGGCGGCGCGAAAATCCACGAGCACGACTTTCTGCGACCGGGCTTGCTGCGCCACGACGAGGTCGGTGATTTGGGTGTTCACCTTTTCGAGACAGGCTTCGACGGTGGCGTCTTTGCTGGGGACGAGCGTCGTGAGGACCACGGAGACGAAAATGCTATTCTTCCAACTCGTCTCGAGGATCTTGAGCAGCTCGGCTCCGGCGTTCGACACGTCCTTGCCCTGGCGACAGTCGTCCGTTCCGGCGTTGACGATGACGAGGTTGGGCTTGTAAGCGGGCACGGCGGTTTCGGCACTCGCTTGGATCGAGGCGATGGGGTTCGTGCCGACGGTAGACGGGGCTTCGACCTGGTTGTCGTCCAGAGAGCCGGAGGTGGAGCTGCCCACGTAGTCGACGGGGTTTCCGTCGGCGATTAGGAGATCGCGGAGGGAGGAGCGGTAGCTGGAGGGGGAGGAGGGGGTGCCGTGGGTGAGGATGTCGCCGAGGGGCAGGATGCGGAGGGTTACATTGCCGCCTAGGAGGGAGATGGAGGGGATGGAGACGTCGGAGAGGGAGGGGCGGTCATTTGGGCGAGCGGCTGTATTTTTATTTTGGCGTTAGCTGTATTCTTTTTTCATCATTTTTATTCTTTTTTTTTTTTTTTATGTTGATAAATGAGATTTGAAGTGCGTGTAAATCGCGAGTTCAATGTTGGAGCTAGGTCAACGAGGAAGGTTGAATGCAACGCTGCGGAGCTTAACCTACCTGCCGAAGCTAGGAACAGCAACCCCGAAAGGGCAAGACGCTGCATCGAGCCTCTTGAACGAGAAGAAGGCATAGTGATTTTTTCTTGAGTTTACAGGAATTGTTTCTGATCTGTTGAATTCCTGTGTTTCTCGAGTGGTGTGTGTGCTCCCCTTGAAATCGTCCGGCAGCTTCCCCAACGAGCTTATATAGATCTGCCAAGCCAAAAAGCGAGGAACTACTGTAGACAGGACGAGTGGAGAGAGGAGCAATGGCGTGGTGGCGTCGATACCGAATGTTATGCGCAAGCTTGGACGAGGAATTGAGTTTTGGGGGGAAGGCACTTGTTCGGCCGGTATCCGTCTTGGTGCCTTGAACAGTTGAACCTATTTAATACTTTCGTATTTCACGTCTGTTTGCTTTTGTTCTCTGATTTGTTGCCTCTACAGGTTTTCTTGGGAACTTCTGTTGTCTGGTTGTTCCCGAGGCAATCAACAAAGCAACGTAGCCTGGGGAATTGGGGATTGCAGCTAGATCCAATGGGGTGGCTAGAAGCGGTATGTCTGGGAATGAAGTGAATTGTCGAGTGGATCAAAGGGTTCAGGAAGATGGTCCTGGTGTTATGACGAAGGATAACAGAGGAACTTAAGAAAGGGATGTTCGAAGGGAAGAATCGCTTCGGGAAATGATTGTCGATTTAAACTACTTCAGTAGAACAGAGGTGAGAGATTGTTTCCTTTTTCTCAGACTCTTCTTGCAACGGCATTACATCAAGATGCATGCCATGATTGCCATCAGATATATTAGCCTACGCCTCATGCGCATTATTACACAGGTAATGCTCTCCAGACTGGGCTGGGAGGATCCGGCCGCACCCTCAGCTCAGCCAGGCCCGAAAAGCACACGAGAATCCTTGTTTCCATCCAATCCAGTCCCAGATCGCTCCAAGACGAAACCTTGAAGCCACCTCTTCCGCTTCCTCTCTCTGTTCCTAACCCAAAACACCAACCTCGTTCTCCACTTCCCCGTCGTCTCTCTCTCTCCACTCTCCACTCTCCACTCTTGAGGTCATACTCGTACTAGCACTCGAGCATAGCATCATCGATTCATCCACTTCCTCTTTTAGCCAGAGCTCCATCACCATGGAAATCCCACCCGAAAAAAGCAAGGGGTTCCGGATGGAGATCGGTCTAATACGAAGCCTGCGCTAGAGAGCATGCATCAATTGACATGACACACTGCGCCGTACTTCGTAGAGCTGATCTGCAGAGCTCTGCAGAGCAAGCAATGAAGCAGAGGTCAGAGTGGACATTCCTTGCCAGCCAGCACCCAATTAGACCGGCGTGATCCCACCGGTATTAACAAGCAGGTTCATCTATTTGGAACCCGAATGATTGTGGCTTGGGAGGACCGATCTGGTCAGCGTCCGTCGTCTGCACACCGAGCGAATGGGAATGGGGAATTGGGGCCAAAGGAGAGATCGCATTGCTCTGTTGGTCGCCCATTGCTCTCCGCCAGCGCATCATCATTCGATTCATGCTGACCGGGCTATCCATAGCTCCATAGACACTGGCCCGCTGAACAAAAATACCTCCGCGCAGGACCAAAATGTATCTGTAGATCGAGCGAAAAAAAGCCCTTGATGCTTGCGAAATGCCAAGAAAGGCCTGTTTCACAATCTCGTACAGCCCCGGTGCCACGGGTCCGCAGCCCCAGCAACGCAAAATCCACTTCCCTCGTCCTTCCTTCGGGTCTGGTGTATTTGCAGTCACAGCAGGATCTGTTTGGTCACTTGTTTAGTAATATCACCAAGGCAAACCTGCATCGAGACAAATCTATTTTATATTCTCTTCGGATAGAAACATTGTGTGATATAGGACGCCCAGGAATACCGTTTGGCCTGCTTCGTGCTATCGCTGCCATGCCCCGCAAGAAACCGATATTCTTCTGCATCAAAGGGCTCCAACACCGCATGAGCTGAAAACGAAGAATCCAGCCAATCCAGGTCCCCTTCTCTAGGGCTAAAGGAGAGAGTGTGTCCAGTAAATAAGATCGATGGTCAGCCCAAGTCCGAAAAGCAGAGAAAAAAATTAAGAAAGAGAGGGACCGGAGTGTGTGGCTCTCGGGCGCAGCAAACCCCACCCGGCATCTGAACCCATTGTTTCAGACCCTGCCACCCGTTTCCTGGTTTCTTGAACGACATCAATGGATCAATAAGAGATGGAGAGATGGATCGGCTGTTTCTTAGCCCCAGCTTGAATCTCAATATCCCGCATGAGCATGACCGCCGCTGTCCGCTGTGAAGGCGGAAATGCAGCGTCGGGTGGTTGGTTCTTCCATCTTCAAGTTGATGACGTTTTACCTGTCCGCATTGGCCAGAGCAGGCCGCGGGAGAGAGAATGGTTGCAGAGTTGCTTCGGAAGGGCTTCTTTCTAGAGGCCACGGACGTGGTGCTCGGAGACGTACCTCGGCATGCTCGAAATGCTGGAGGGGATCGTTCACCTCCATCAGAGGTTGCACGTTGATATTCTGCAACCAAAATAGGTCAACCACAACTTCCATTATCCCATTCCCACGTATCAAACTTATACAAAAAGAAATAAAAATATTGAAAAAAGGTAAAATAAAATAATAAAAAGAAATGAAAAAATAAATAAATAAAATAAAATAAAATAAAATAAAATAAAATAAAATAAAATAAAATAAAAATTAAATTACGAGGAGCGAATAGTAAAGCACGTTATTCAATGATAAAAGGACGGCATCAAAAATAAATCCGTCCGTGAAATGTGAGCTACGATTGTACTGACCCGAATGGCAAACGACGACAAACGGTATTCAGTTCAATGGGCAATGGAGTGACTCGTTCAAAGTGGAGCAGTGTACATAATCCCGGAGGTAGTGATAAGTACAGATCTCAAACATGAAGGCAATGGGCGACCTCCTTTTCTTGTTCCCCTTCAATCATCGCCTCGTCTCGCATGTCGTTACAGCGTTCCATTTGTCCCGTTTGCCACCTTTGATTGATCCTTTCTATTTTTATATTTATTTTCTTCTCTAACATCGAATCCTATCAATCAATTTCGTTCTTCGTCATTCAAAAGCATCTAGTGTTTGTCTTGCGCCATCTCCTCTATTATGCTATTGTCCTTGCCCCAGCGAAATTCTCTCGCTCTCAATTGACTTTGCTCTATACATCGACATTCTATATATCCGGGCCGGATCTGATATCCTCACCGGGACTCCTGTGTGCTTCAAACTCTAATTTGTCCCTAATTTTTATATCCCTTCTGCGTCGCCTCTTTTTTTTCTTACATCTCCAGTTCAACTGGTCAGCCAGCATATCCTCCCTCCTTGCTTTGCTGCATGCACTCTTGACTTGGCCTGCTGCCGTCCCGCTCCGGCTGCAGGCTCTTCCGCCATACAGCGTCAACGACACAGCGGGAGTCCTCACACACGTTCGCCCTTGCAACCTCTTCGTACAAAGTACATTTTACGCTCTCCCAACAAGCCAGTAACGAGGCAATATCCCGCCAAGTACAAAGTACTGGATACGCGTACATCTCCCCTGCATCTCCGCTTGCCTCCTCGGATCTTGTCCACGAGGATACCCCTGTTCATCCCATTCTCGGATCCTCTCGCACTCGCAGCACGGGGGAAACTTTTTTTTTTTCCCCTCTAACTTTTTTCATCTCTTTTTCCTGACCTGCTCCACGAGTCGCACGCGCCGGATACACGCGACCTACATATCTTGATTTGTTCTGCTTCTCGTGGCCAGCGCTCTTTCCTTTTTCGTTGTCGTCGACGCTGGGCCCATCTTTCTACCGAGGATCTGGTGTGGCGACACTTCCTCCAGTCCTGCTCATAAACTACTTCCTACAAAGAACCCCCCCGGGCCTTGCGCCAAGTCGATCCTTGTCTCGACCCAAACTCTCCCTTCATTTCATTGTTCATTCCCTTCCTCCGCCACATTTTCTGCTCCGCTGGCACCATTCTTGTCCCACGGAGAACCCCGCCAACACTCGCCAACCTCGCCTTGAGGCATCCCGCCAAGCCACCTCCCATTCCAATCCTTTCAGCCTCGTTATCGACAACGACACCCCATCCGCGAAACAAAGCGCCCACCATGGATCGCATACCCCGCTTCCGTCGTCGCCCCAAGCACCCGACCGTCAACACTGACCCAAAATCCATCAACGTCACTCCCGCCGACCGCGACATGACCCCCCCTTCGCCCCCTGCGTCGTCTGCGCCCGCGCCTGCGCCAGTCGTACCGCTAACGACCACTACGATCACGGCCAACGCGACGACAATCAATACGCCCAAGACCGAAAAGTTCCTCAAGGTGGCAGGGCTCAAGGGCTTGCACCTGCGCAGCCCCCATAAGCGCCAGAGGTCTCCCTCGCCCGCCTGCTTACCTACGTCACCTCCGCCGACCGTTGTGACTCATGATGTAGGGCGCGTGATGTCCCGCTCGCCCGAGGACAAGCGGGATAAGGCAAAGGAGAATAATAAGTCGAGGGCGAAAGAGGATAAGAAGAATCAGATCCTGCCGACGCCGCCAAGGCTCACCATAGAGAGTGGTGACGATACGCTGGTGGAAGAGGTGGAAGACACGTTTGAGACAAAGAGCAAGACGGAGTCTGGGGACGAGATGAACGGGAAGAAACCTGTGATACCCTTTTTCCTTACGTATTCTGAGATGGGTACGTCTTCCTTGAGGATCCTGACCTATTTTATTCCCTCGTTGCAGAGCTAACTTGCCTCCTCTCCTCCAGATTTAGCAAACAAATTCCAAGACATCACCTGGAACGAGCGGAAACGCCTCGCATCCGGCAGCTGCGTCCTCGAACACATCGACTCCCCCCGAGCGAGCCCCAACTCCTCGCAACCCGACCTACGACGAATCGGCATGGACCGCTACTACAACATCAAGCCCTGGAGCCACAACCGCGTAAAACTCCTAGTGGCCGAGGGCACAATCGACTATGTCAACGCCTCGCCCATCGTCCTCGAATCCCCCTCCGACCCTAGCCTGCCCCCGCTCCGCTACATCGCCATGCAGGGCCCGACGCTGCAGTCCATGGACTACGTCTGGCGCATGATCGCCGAACAGCTGGGCACGACGGCCGTCATCGTCCAGCTTACCAATATGGTCGAGAATGGAAGCCAGAAGTGCTTTCCTTATTTCCCCGAATCCGACGCCGACGCCACGTGGAGGCTTAACGAGAGGGATGCTTGGCAGGATGGTTGGGCTGCTGATCTTAGTTTTGTCGAGTTTGAGACGTTGGCGGATGGCGATATCGAGGTGCGCAAGATGATATTGCACGTTGATGGCGAGGAGGAGGAGCGCGTCGTTTGGCATCTGCTGTACACGCGATGGCCCGACTTTGGCGTTCCGGCTATTGAGCACCTAGATAGCTTCTTCGACCTCATGCGCCTCTCGCGCCAGTACAACGCAATGGGCGGCACCAACGGCAGCACTGTCGACGGTGACAGCCCTCGGATCATCCACTGCAGCGCAGGCGTCGGCCGCACCGGCACCTTCATCGCCCTCGAACACCTCATGCGCGAGCTCGACGCGGGCTACCTCGCCAACTACGATGCCGCAGAGGCCGCGTCCTCTTCCGAGTCCGACTTGATCTTCAAGGTTGTTGATCGGCTGCGCGAGCAGCGCAAGTCCATGGTGCAGGCGGAGATTCAGTTCCTGTTCATTTATAGGGTGCTGAGGAAGTTGTGGCTGGATAAGTATAGACAGGCTACCGGGGGCGAGTATGAATCCGAGCCGGCGCCTAAGAGGCTCGAGGTTTCGGATCCATTTGTTGAGTGAGGGTGAGGGGGAGGAACGCGAGGCATGACATGACTTCTTTCTTTTTCGTTGTTCCATATGCATCAGCATCATCGTGGTTTTTCTTTTCATGAGCATGGGCGTTTTAGGGTTTAGGGATGGTATGGGTTAGGGGTCAGGGGGATGGTATAGACTACGGCTTAGGCATCACATTACATCATTATCTGATACCACAATTGCAATTTCTTTGTCTTCACAATCTCATATGTATGATCCCTGGTGTGAAATTTCATTGCCCTTTGCTTGTTCTTTGGTGCTTGGAACTGAAGGGAGAGCGAGCTTCTTGCTGGAGTTGAGACGTGGAGGAAAGAGGAGAGACTACGAAGTAGTGCGTTGCATATATCATTGATGCATGTGCATCTCTATCTTTTCAATGGGCACAGTGTTCTCAAGTTGCTTGGCATCGAGGGAGCCTCGTGAGATCTCGAGTTCTTAAGCTGAAGCCCTCGGTTTATACTATACATTCTCTTTTTGACCCATTCAGAACTTGAAGCTCTCATGTCCTTGGTTTACTTGCGTGCTAGTTAATAGTCGCGTTCACCGTCCATACTTTCCTCGCGCTCTATCTCTAGAAGGCTAGGGAGGCAGCCTTCGAGTTTCGAAGTAATACTCTTATTGTCAGTGTGAAGCTTCCACCACTGATAACTGAAGAGCCCGTTTCTCCGGCTCGATCCCGAGTCCTCTCTACGTCTTCTTATTTCCCAGCAGGTTCTTGTCCGCGAAAAAAGACGATTACAAACAAGACATCCGCCAAGAATATCTCGGAGGCTCAGTCGAATGGCGCGTATATGCGCGCGATGTTGAAAACGATGGTAACAGATGCTTACACGGGATGAAATGTACCGGCTGTTGATGGTTTGAGGTGTGGAATCGAACCAATTAGCGAGCTTGAGATTAGTATAGATAGGCTTTTTTTTTTTTCTTAGTGATACGGGGATCTTGAGTAATGTTCCATTCGATTTAGTTATAGCTTGAAGTATTCCAAGGTATATTACTCCGTACGAATGGTGTCTGTATAAAGGAGGGTTGGCAACGAAGGAAGCCGCGAGTAAGATCAAAGATCTCATCAAAAATGGTCCGGGGAATCTCGAAACAAACAAGATAAGCATGTGACAGACGAAACCTCCCGTCACCGAGCATCGATGTAGTAAACTTTACTTGTATTAAGTCGTAGACTCGAACCATGCTCCTCCGCACCGTCACAAGATGACGTTGGATCCCCCTCGCCCGTGCCGTTTATCACCCTCCGTCTTACTTGCATCCGTCTTACCACCCCATGATATCCTCGCGGGTCGTCTCCTCTTTCATCAGCACCTTCTTTTTAGTTTAAAATAGTCACAAAATTCTATACACAGCCTACTGTATACATCCTATCAAAAGGCGAGGGGAAGTTCACATGTGAAGGGTACCGGTAGTGTCTACGAGGCGGGAGACACCGGAGTAGTCCTCGACACAAACGGCCGAAGGGAAATGAAAGCGAAAGATAGAAAATATGTTTCTGAGTTTCGAATAACGACAATGTCGTGTCAATGGAATATACGCATTTCACGCCTTTGGAAGTTGAAAAGCGGTGTGCCGTATAAGTTCTAGTCACAAAACTCTCAAGCCTCCGACTTACACGCACCTCATAACCTCACAAACCTACAATGTATGGAGAAACGGAAAAAAGTACCTTTCGTAATATCGAGTAATTTCTTTGTAATGGTGATCCAGAAGAGGGAGGTCCAAGCGAGGAGGGATATGACCGGTTGTCCGTGTATTATACGCCCGGTGTGATAATACTACTTTGTAGTAGTAGGTTTTTGGTCACGCTCTCGGACAGAACCAGAAGGAGACAATGGACGGATCGAAACCCCGCCGTAGGGGTGGATACGAAGTCGAGGAAGAAGGAGAAGGAAAAAAGATGGGATGAACTGTAATTTCTTTGTTACCGTGGTTGTACAGGGCTGGGGTTGGGAAAATGGCAAGTTTGTCCCGAAACCGGCCCGGAACAGCACGGGTAAGTTTCTCATGAGAAGAATGGGGAAGAGCAGTATCAAAAGAAAGAGGGGAAAAAGAAAGGGAGACCAAATGGGCCCCTCGTGTTCCCGGCGAAGGGATGGTCTGGAAGAAAAAACGTGGATGGGATCCGTGGGTTGTAAATTGGTGGGAGAGACGGCGGGCGGACCGCGACGGCTAAAAGGGAAGATTTGGGAGGAGTGGTTTGGTTATGTTGCATTTCGGGCCGGGAAACTTTTTTTGATTTCTGACTGACCGACTAACTTCTCCCTTTCTTCTGATACTGGTACAGATTTGATGATGATGGGGACGAGAGATGACGGTCTTACATTGCACACTGGTCGTGAGGCCAAGCGGTGTCAGGGTGCTGAGATTAAATGCGCTTATGCCCTGGCACTCTGGCAAAGGTTCCGTGTTCAGGATACGGCAAGACATTCAATGTTCGAAACACAAAACGAACGACCTAATGAAGGTCGAGGCTCGTTGCCGTGTCGCAGAATATCGACTGCTCCATGTATTCAATAGCTACACACCGCTAACAACTGTCACCGGCGAAGCTACATGAGCTATACGGTCGATCCCGCGTCCCGCGTGAACAGCTCTGCCGCCGGCAGTAACCCCATGAATGACTGATCGCTAGCCATGCTCGGCCTGGTGGGTACGGATATAGACAGAGGCTGGTGTTTCCCGCAAGAAAAGCCGGTATAAGCAGCCGCAAAATCTCGTCGCAGATTCACTTTAGATGAGGCGAGAATGGTTTCTAGAACACAATGACGTCCCGTGGTGGTCCTGGCAAAAAAGATAGCTTCGTGCTCGTGCCTTGATACCTACCTGCCATCTTTTCAGTTATTACTTCGTAGCAAGTCTCGATTGGGAACTACTGGGCAATTGATCCAATCACTTGCATCAATCCCTGTTGATTGTTGATCACCTCTGAAGAAGTCGAGACTTGGACCTCAACCTCCAAACCGGTCTCCGGGATGGATCAATCGATGCCGGATATACTTCGTACCATAGATGCCTTCTGCAATACGACAACGCTCGAGCACACCTCAACTCCTACTCCACAAGTAACATCTTAAGCGAAAGGACAAATCCGCCCCCATCTCGCTTCGCTAAAATAGCGATCCTTTCCTTTTTCCGTTTATCCACCACGTGCGAAATGCCTATTCGGGAAATACAACAATGGGAGAGTTTACAAAGTAGGAAAGAGGGAAAAAAAGCATTGACCAAGGGGCCAGGGAGTCAGGATAAAAGGGAGTTGGGAGTTTGGGGGCCGGACGGGAGAAAAGATGCAGAGCGGTGCTGGGCAGAGAAGCAAGGGCAGACGGAGGGCTCTCTGAGGATGGCCGTTTCTCGGCACCATCGTCATCCCTACGAAGTACGAGGAGACGTGGAGGCGAGTAAGACCGACTCACACGCTCCACAGAAAGTGGAATGTGATGGCATCAATGAGAACACAAGGTCATTGAATAAGTCTCAGAGTCGAAAAAAAAATAAAAATAAAAATAAAAAAAGCCGATGAAGAATCGACCGGCAGATGGGGGGGAAGGGATGCAACCTCACCACATGCGCATTTGAAAGGAACAGGACAAATTGATACCGTCTGCCTCTCTTCTGCAGAGCAAAAAGCTTGTGCAAGGGCCACAGAGCCGAGGCGAGGGAGGGCGGCTATTTCCGACGGAACGACGCCGTTCCCGAACGAAGGGAGAACAATGTGAGTATTAAAAAAAAAAAGGAAACATGTGGATTCTAAGCCTCTGATGATGAGACACTGGGGCTTCCTTCTCCCCCTTGTTGTTATCTACAAGTACTTCGCAGTCTGAGAGACGCTTTTTGGTTTCAAGAACGGTCTGTCATATCCCAGGCTTGCCTCTCCAACTCCAAGCTAAAAATATCCCGCGTCAAATGCCGAGTAGAAAAAGGCTCAAGCCCTCAGTGAAAAAGTAAAGAAAAGGAAAATATCCGCGGAACGGCAGAAAAGAACAGAAGCTCAGTTTCAAAAGGCCTGCCAAGAACGACCTGAAGGCCGTTGAAAAATATCCCTGTCGGCCACGAGCCTAGCTTAATCCTTTTGTTTTATTTACACTAGTAAACTACTTGGGTAGCTGTGAGTGTTCAAATTGCTCGTTACGATGACCCATGTCTTTGGGTAGCAATAGCGGGGCATTATTCTCAATAAGACGTTCAGGGGCAAGGGCAAGGGCTGGGGTTCTAGTATGGAGTGTAATCTTCATGGATATTTTTGAGTTGCTGGTTCGATGATCATGATCCGAGGGGAGGGTCCTGCAAGACGGAGAGTTCCTAAGCCCTTGTCTCCATCCATGGTCAGGCAAGGGAATACCGGGAAGGCTCCCATGGATCAATATCTGGAGATGAGCGTCTCCCTTGTCGCTTACTTTTGCTGATTTGGGCCGCTGTCTCCTTGCTGACTTTCTAGGCCAGCATAAACCATGCCTGGGGAATGAGCGGCCGGTGATGCCGATGGGAACACGGAGCAGAGAACGATCCGACAAGCCGCGAGGTTGGGTTGGAGCAATGGAGAGACGGAGAGAGAGGCGGTGAAGTGTTATAGCTGTAGATTATGCTACGTATAGTACGCGTAATATTGTCATCAACATTGGCCGGTCAGAGGGCCCAGGGGGTTGTTGAAGAGCGGAACAATGTCGTGGTATCATAATACTTCGTACAGTGGATTGTGTGATACATTCTGAAGTGGGAGGATGGATCTATCCGGCAGCGATTGGACCCTGCTTCAGTGTCGTCCTCTCTGCTCGAGGGTACACTACTTCGTACATGATGACGACTGTGTGTGTGTGGGGGGGAGGATCTAGAGTAGGGGTTGTACGAAATATGCGTAATTTGGGAATGAGCGTAACGACTGAGGACAAAGGATCGCTGGGTGGGTTGCACAGGCAATCATTGATCCTAATAAGCTACAGGTACGAAGGTACACCGTGAATACTTGGCACTCCTGTAGGGAT